TAGAGGAATTGTTTCACCCTATATTACATAGGGTAGCTCGAGTCAGAACCATCACTAGAGCTTAAAACAACAGCAAAAGGCCCCATCACATCGGAGGAAAGGAGGCCAACCGTTATTATTCAAGGTTTCCATACAGAGCAACAATATACTAACTTCTAAAACCTAGACATTTAGCATTTATACTCATAACCCCACAAACTCCCAATATGCTGTCAATCTGGAATAGTTTAAGGTTATTCTGAAGTCTGTAACACCTTTTATAGTACCCCAACCTACCACTTATTTTTTTAACACATTGCCACACACTTTTAAATTGACGACCATGCTTAAAAACACACTTTTTTCGATGTATTACTGAATAATTAACAAATAAATGCATTAGTACACTCCGTATGAATGATGTTCCTTTTTTATTAATTAAAATGTGCAGGATGGCTATAGCCATCATTTGCGACAACATTCATTATAAAGGTTTTCAAGAATAGATTTCTTATTCATAAGTTGATCACTTTGTGGGACTTTTTTATTTTATTTTATTATTTTTGTGTGAGTGTACCGTCAAATCAGATCTGACTGGTACAGGAGGAGATTGTCCCTCCTTCCCCGGCAGAGCATCTGGTGGATTCGAACCGTGCGCCTCTGGGATTGTAGTTGCAGCTCCTTACCACTAGGCCACCAGAGCTCCCCTTGTAGGGCTGTTTTTAAAAAGAGTATTTATGTCTGCAACTCAGAACTCAAACTCATTGCCCGCCAATTAGAAGCAACTAATGCTGACCACCCTCCATTGGGTTCCGGGGCTCTAAGTTACACAGGTGGAAATGACTCCTCTTCTGAGGAGTGGATTGGTGGATTCAGATGACCAGCGAGGTTCACACTGGGTTAGAGCACAACTCCTTGTGCACTGTGCCACCAGAGCTCCCTGTACTAATGAGAAGTTTAAATATATTGATCACTTTTATTATGCCTGGTAGCTCTAGCAGCCTAGTGGCAAGAAGCTGCTCTGCAGTCCCGAAAGCACACAGTTCAAGGCCACCATCAGCTCTACAGGACAAGGATGGGCCGTCTCCTCCTATGTGATTAACTGTCTCTAAAAACCCACTGGCAGGTCAGCTTCAGGTTGATTCTGACTCTACAGTACACAACAATGACATATGTTACTGATTATAAATATATCAGAAACTTCTGTTAGCAATTAAATTAATGAGAAAGGAAAGCAAATGATGGTATATTTGTATTTAATTTGTGACCTATCATAAAAGCCTTTTTAAACAATGGTTGAAGTTCTTGATTGCTAACTAAAAAGTTAGTGGTTCAAATCCACCTGCTCCTGTGCTGGGAAAAGATGTTGTCATTCTGCTTCCATAAAGATTTATACCCTTGGAAGCACTAAGGAGCTGTTCTGCTTTCTCCCAAAGGGTCACTTTGGTTTCTAACTGACTCCCTGCTGCTGTGTTTATGTTGTTGTTAATTGTTCTTTTTCATCCTGGTTGATAGCTTTGCTTCTGTGAGAAAAAGATACATCAAGACCTAGACATGTTCTACTTCTCTTTTACTTTTTATTCAAAGAAAGACCATGTACTTAGTCACCAGCTTAACAAAGAACACAATAATCAAATGGCCATTTCTCACTTAGAATTAAAAGATGCAGGCAAATGAGAAATATATCTGAAGCATTATTCTCTTTAGCAACTAGGAAATTGAGTAGGCCATTAAGGAATGCATGTCAGAGGAGACATTACTGGCCAAATCATTTGTTTATCAGAGTCCCAGTGTAACAAAATATATTTCATATTAAAGCTATTACGAGCATGGTTTTCTTTGAAAGTCTTTGCTTAATTTGTTTTAAACCCTTACCATTCCTTTTCTTTTCCTATTTGCTGTTTTATTTTCACATAGTTCTGAGAAAAATGCACTGTTACTGTTTTCTCAAAATAAAGTTGATCCTTGAATAGTACAAAGTGGGTTGAGGGTTAGGGGTGCTGACCTCCTGCACATTTGAAAATCTGTATATATTTTACAGTTGACCTTTGAATAATACTGTTTGAACTGTTGCAGGCCACTTGTACTCCAATATTTTTCTTTTTGCTATTGGTTTGTCAAATGTTGCATATATCTGGAGTGGATTCTTGTAACAATTGAGCTTAGCCGACTAGCAACAGGAAATAAAACCCAAGCACAAGTGAGCTGGCATAGATCAAGTACCCACGGGTATTCCAGGGTTATATATAAATTAACAACCATACTAAATGGAACTAAAATGTGATAATGTTTCTTTCAACATCCCCTAAAAGCAGAAGAATGAAAATCCCAGAACACTTAACTGTTCATGCAAAGCCTAAGAACAGTTCCTTGTTCCTAAACCAAGAAGCTGTCTTTGAAGCAGAAGAAGGGAATATTGATGGTTTAAAATCTGGAAAGGTGTGTGTCAGCATTGTATCCTTTCTTCATAGCTGGTCCATCTGGATGCTGAACACAAGAATGTGGCATCAAGATTGAAAATCAACAACCAACATTATGTGGATGGCACAACCTTGCTTGCCAAAACCGAAGCTGACTTAAAGCACTTAATATAGATCAAAAACTATAGCTTTCAATATGGGTGAGATGCCAACATCAAGAAAACAGAAGATCCTCACAGGTGGATCACTCGGCAACATCATGATAGATGGAGAAAAGATTGAAAATGTCAACCATCTCATTTTACTTAAATTCACCATCAGCTCCCATGGTAGCAGCAGTCAAGAAATCAAAAGACATGTTGCTTTAAGGAGATTTTCTTTGCAGTACTAAATGCAAAGATAGAAGTTTAAAGACTAAGGTGAGCCTGACCCAAATTATGTTTTCACTTTCATATTCACGTGAAAATTAGACAGTGAGTAAGCAAGACTTAAGAAGAACTGATGTCTTTAAGATACTGAAAATAATATGGACTTGCAAAAGAATAAACAAATCCATCTTGAAGAAATTGCAGCCAAGGATGATGAAACTTCATCTCACATACTTGGGGCATGTTGTCAGGAGATTCTGTTGTTGTTGTTGTTGTTGTTGTTGTTGTTGTTGTGTGCTATCGAGTTGCCTTCGACTCATTGCGACCCTGTTGACAGTAACTCTGAAGCCCACCCTATCCTGAGCCAGTCTCACTGACTCCAACATACTTACCCCCATTATCCCAGTTAATGTGTCAGTCCATCTCATCAAGGGCCTTCCTCTCCTGTGTTGTCCCTCCACCCTTCCAAACTTGACAGCCTTCTCCAGGGACTGGTCTCTCCTGGCCCTGGACCCAAAGAATGTGAGACAGAGCTTCAAAATCCTTGCCTCTAAAGAGAAACTTGGTTTTACCCTCTCTAGGACAGACTTATTTGTTCTTCTGATGATCCATGGTATGTTCAAGACTCTTCTCCAGCACCACAACTCTACAGCATTGATTCTCCTTCTGTCACCCTTAGTCACTGTCCAGCTCTCTGAGAAATAGTAAGTAATTGCAAATGGCCTGGATCATGTGCACCTTAGCCTCTAGGCTGACATCATTGCTCTCAGCACACTGGAGAGGTCCCTGATGGCAGGCTTCCCCAGTGCAGTTTGTCTTTTGATCTTTTGACTGCTGGTGTTAAGCATGTTGATTATGGAGCCAAGCAAGTTGTAATTGTTAACAACCTCAAACTCTTCTCCATCCATCATGGTGCTGCCAGATTGGCCCAGTGGTGAGAATCTTAGTCTTCTTGATGTTGAGCTTCAATCCATATTGAAGAGGAATATTAGTCCTTGGAAAAAGACATCATGCTTGGAAAAGTAGAGGATCAGTTTAAGAACCACTTAAATATTATCCCAGGCTTTAAATGACACAGTGGCTGCAAAAATGGGCTTGGGCATAGCAGAGATCATGAGAATGGCAATTAAAAGTGTTAAAGAAACAAGAGACTTTATATTAATAGGTCAGTGCATAATGATAATACATCTTAAGTGGTATTATTGTTGTGTCTAGTTAGAACCGACTCATAGCTGACCCTCCATAAGGTTTTCAAAGACTAACATATGTGGGAGGTATCGCCCATGGAGCAGGGTTAGAATTGCACATGAAAGAGCAAGCTCCATAATATATGTTGTAAAAAGTAACAGAATTAAAGTGAAAAATAGGTAGTTCTACCATAATAGTTGGGAGACTTCACTTTCAAAAATTGATAGAATATCAAAGTAGAAAGTAAATAAGAAAATTGAGGAGTTGAACAACAATCTAAATCAAGGAGACTTAGCAGATGCAGAATATTCCATCCAACAATAGAATATGTATTTTTGTCAGCTATACACAAAATACTCTCCAGAATAGACCATAACACAAGCCTTTAAAAGGATTGAAATTAAGAAAATTTTATTTTCCAGCCACAGTGGAATGAAATTGAAAATCAAAATCAGAAAGAAATTTGGGGAATTCACAAATATGTAAAAATTAAACCATGTACTCCCTACTAACCAGCACCTCTAAGAAGAAATCACTATAGAATTAGAAAATATTTTGAGATATATGAAACACAGCATGCCAAAATGTATGTAACACAGCTGAAACAGTGTTTACGGGGAAGTTTATAGCTGCAAGTGTCTATTAAAGTAGAAACATCTGAAGTCAAACTGGGAAATTAAATCCAAAAAAAGCAAAAGGAAAGATATAATAAATGGGAATGTGGGTAGGAATTAGGAATAACTACTAAAGGGTATGGAGTTTCTTTTTGGGATAAGGAAAATGTTCTAAGCATCTATGACAGTGTTGTGAAGAACTCTTAAGCATATTCCAGCAATTCAACTGACACTTAAAATTAATCTTTTTTGCTTTGTTATGTGAATGGCTAGACAAAACTGTTTTAAGAGTTCACTAATATTTATTAACTGCAGGTCCACTGTTCTACTTTATATTTAAAGAATCAGTTCTAGTACTTGTATTTTTAACATTGGATAAAAACAGTGTCTCAAAACTATTTTGTTTGTTTGTTTGTTTTTAATAAATCTAGCTGGACAACTCAGCCAGTCAGCACATTTCGCTCTCCAGCTGCCGTACAATGTGCTTGGTTTAGGCCGAAGTGCAAATTTTCTTGATCACCTTTATGTAGGTATCCCACGTCCATCTGGAGAGAAGGTAGGTAAAAAATAAATTTTTTTGTTATAATTAATTTGGTTTTCAATATTTACTGATTTATTTGAAGGTATAAAATAGTTCGCTGATAACCTATTAACTTGATAGTGAACACATCATGATTTGAAAATACAGAATAGCTTTCCACCAGATGTGCCATATCTTTCACACATATGCCAACAACTCTTCACTTTTCACCGCTCCATATGCTATAAAGGACCCTTGAATTCTTCAGGAATTCAGAAGACTGGCTTGGTAACCACATCAGAGATCGCCATCTTGAAAACTAGAGTGCAGCTCTACTCTGCAGCATTTCCATCAATGGAAATGAACTCAACAGCAACTGACAAGGATATGCAGTATATTTTACCCATTTTGTTTATCGTCAGGCTACCCCTCAAACTGAATGCCAGCCCCAAGCAGTATTTACACATAGCACTTTGAACAGTACCTGCTACATAAGAATGGTAAAAGTAAATAAATACATAAAAAAATTCTTGTCAAGAAAAAGCAGATAAGACAGCACTGTGGTTTTAGACTTAATGTGAACATGTAAATTTAGTTTAATCTACTTTCAAGATTTACATTTCTTTCAGAATTTTTGAGCTTTTCCCTGTATTTAATTTGAATAATTTAATGCTGTTATATGTTCTGTGATTCCTTTTCCAGTCTATACGAAAACAAGAGTGGACTGCAATCATTCCAAATTCCCAGCTAATTGTCATTCCATACCCTCACAATGTTCCTCGAAGGTAATGTCCTTCCTTTAACTAAATTTGGCAATACTGTCAACTCTGAATCATAGATATAGTTGTATCTTTTTATTTTAAAAACTTTCTTATTCCTGCTGCGTTCTGAATGCCATCAGTTTATTTGCTAATAATACCCTTTAATGGGTAAACATACTAACACAAAGGGTTCATGGCATTTTCAGTGAAGCGTAAATTAAGGCCTATTACAAATAGAACATGACAATTCGTTTGGGGTTTATACATAGTCGGGGTGAACAAATGAGTCCTCAAATGAGATGGATTGATACAGTGACTAAGGCAATGGGGATTGGTGTGTCAGAATTAGTGAGACTGGCTCAGGACAGGGAAGGGTTCAGAGCTGCTGTACATAGGCTCGCTGTGCATCACAGGCAACTTAACAGCACATAACAACAATAACATACTATGACAGGTTTAGAAGCAGGAGTGGCATCCACTTCCTAAACTACATGCCTCTGGAAACTCTATGAACTTTGATAAATGTCAATAATTGTAGAGGGGCTTCAGGCCTCTTGTTCATAAGGTCGCTATGGGCTGTGCTCAACTTGAAGGCAATCAACAACAACAGTTTTGAATGACTTAAATTTTATAATAAAGTCTATGATATATGCTGGCCACAAATTTTGAAGTCAAACGTCTGTTTGGCTATAAAGAGACTGGGCTAAAAACTCAGTTACCGGGAGCTCTGCTGGCCTAGTGGCAAGAAGCTGCACTGCAATCCCAGAAGTATGAAGTTCAAATCCACCAGATGCTCTGCAGGAGAAGGAGGGGCAAATCTCTTCCTATACCAGTCAGATCTGATTTGATGGTACACACATAAAAAAAAAAAATTAAATTAAAAAAAAAACAAACTCGGTTACATGGCTGGGAGATTGGAACCTCCTTTCTTAGGCCTCTTTTAGCCTTATTTCCACATCTACAGAATGGAAAATAGAATATCTGCTTATGACACTGTTGAAAAAATATGCCTAACGCAGTGCTGAGCATATTACAAAGTTTCCATAAAGAATAGCTATTTTATCCTTATTAGCAATATGTTCCTTTTATTATCTCGTATTTCACTCTCATTCCCTATCTTATCTGTGTGCATTATTCTTTAACTTACTAAGTTGGTTCTAGTCGACAGACAATGAAGGAGGTATTCACTGGAATTTAAATTTCATTAGGGGGAAAACTAAAGGATATGGTATAATGTAGAAATGAATATGTAATCAAGGTAGTCCTACTTGGTATCTTTTTCTTCAAAATACAAGTTTGTTTTCATTTTCTTGAAAACTTAGATTGGCTCTGTTGAGTGATGTTTACAGCAAGTTCATGCCAGTTTATAAGCCAACCATATGAATCTCTTTCCAACTCTCTATTTGGTAGCATCACACTGGTAACTTATAGTCAGGTATATGCTATATTTACATCATGGAAATTAGCAAATGCTACAAAAATCAGGACTTTGTTTCCCCTTTCTTCTCATAAAACCAGTATACTGTGTTTTGTAATAATTTGGGGACTTCAGAACAAATTTACTTAAGAAAGCAATATTTATCATATCACTATACATGATATTTTGTGTTTAAAATAAATTTGTTATACTTTATTTTTTGTCATCTATTGATGACAAAACAAGCCATTTCCTAAAAAAGCAGATCAGATCACAGACCCAAAGAATATCCTGAGACAGGAAAGCAGAAGAAGTATACCAACACTGATTTCCAGCAATTGATACTCAAGAAATTACAAATGATGGAAGAAAGAGTTGAAGCTACAAGTAAAGAAGTACAAATTTTTTTTAAATTATTTTAAGACAAGACATAACGAATAGAATACTAGAAACAACATAAAAGCATTAAAATGCAATCCAGAATAAAAATATTACTACTGCAGAAGTTTTCAACATATGGGAAGGACAAGAAAACAGGATAGAAAATAAGACTCTCCATGAGAACCTGCTAGAAGAAAAAGATAGGACAAAAGGGAAAAAAAACATAGAACTAGGTTAAATTATTTCAAACAAAACAACATATGTATAATTGGAATTCTAGAACAGGACGGATTTAAGAAAAAAAGAAAGAAAGAAAGCGCTTAGAAAATTATGGAAGAAGTAATAGAAGCAAACATTCCAGGTATCATGAAAACAAAATATATATACAAGAAGCTCAACAAATTCTAAACAGATTAAACCTCCCAAAAAAGACATCAGACACATCATCGTTAAATTCTCCAAAATCCAGGAGAAGCAGCTCAAGAAAAACAAAGAAGCCACATACAAACGAAAACTAATTAGATTAAAATATAACTTTTTAACAGACACCACAGGAGCAGAAAGATTGTGGGAAGGCATGTATAAAATGCTGGAAGAAAATAATTGCCAATCAGGAATCCTGTATCCAGCAAAACTGTCCATCAAGTATGAAGGAGAAATTAGGTTATTCACAAAGTAGGAGCTTGTTTCATGAAAACAAAACCAACTTTACAAGAAATACCAAAGGTAGTCCTTAACACAGAAATAGTAAGTAATCCAGCAACAATGCAAAAAAAGACCTCAGAAAAATGGCTGCAGTAAAGCAGGACCTGTGGATAATTGCAATGAATATGAACAAGTTAACAATACTAATTAGGATTCAAATGTTAGCAGATTGGATAAAAAAAAGAGCCTATCAGTATGTTGTCTGCAAGACACACATCTAAGAAATGAGACGATAGATAGATTAAACATCAATGTGGAGGGGAGAAATACAACAAGAAAATAGCATCCGTAAGAAAGGAGGAAGAGGCACTCTGGTGGCCTAGTGGCAAGAAACTGCACTGCAATCCCAGAGGCGCACGGTTCAAATCCACCAGATGCTCTGCCTGGAAAAGGAGGGACAATCTCCTCATGTACCAGTCAGATCTGATTTGACGGTACACACACACAAAAAATAATTTAAAAATTTAAAAAAAAAGAAAGAAAGGAGGAGTGCTGAGATAGACTTAGGGTAAAAGCCAGCATAAGAGACAAGGAAGGACACTATATAATACTCAAAGGCACAATATACCAAAAGAACGTACTATCTATGCATTAAATGGTATACTTCCAAAATACATAAAACAAATGCTAACAGACTTCAAGAAAGACATAGGCACCACTACAATAGTAGTAAGATTTCTTCAACATAAAGAGGTGAACAAGAGTTCACCTGAAAGAAACAAAGATGCAGAACTAAACTATACCATTAGCCCATATAACCTTACAGAGCTATTCAGAGAACTCCACCAAAGATTCAGTTTACTATCTTCAGAAAAGAACATGTTACATTACATTCTCCAGACATGCCCATATATTAGGGCACAAAGCAAACCTCAGTAAATTTAAAAGCATCAGAATAATACCAAGTATCTTCTCAGACCACAATGTTATAAATCTGATAATTGACAAGAGGATAAAGGATAAAAAAGCCACCCATGTGAAAGCTAAATAACACCTTTCTTGACCACTACTGGGTTATAAATAATTTTTTTTTAATTTTTTGAAATTTCCACATTTCACAAAAATGTGGAAATACAATGTATCAAAACCTCTGGGATACAGCAAAGGCAGTCCTCACAAAAGAAAATGTATATATAACTCAAGTAAGCAACAAAGGACATAGTGTCCCCAAAGAACCAGCTGAAATTAAAATTAAAATAATGGAACATGATGAAAAGCTATACTTTAGCAAAATTGAAACCTATAAGAAATGGACAAATTCCTGGAAACCCATACCCCACCCAAATTGACATAGCTTGGACAGACATCACAAAAGAAGTAATTGAATAGATCATTTTAAAAAACCTCCCAACAAAAATAAGCCCTCGACCAGATGACTTCACTAGTGAATCCTAGCAAACATTCAGAATTTAACTGTTGCCAATTCTACTTAAATCATTTCAAAATACAGAAAAATAAGGAACACTCCCAGAATCATTGTATGATGCAAGCATAACCCTAATACCAAAGCTAAGCAATGACATCACCAAAGAAAAAAACTATAGACCAATATCTCTCATAGACATTCCTGCAAACATCCTTAGCAAAATCGTAGCCAGTATAATCCAGCATTATGTATTTTTTTAAATCCAAACTTACCATGACGCAGTGAGATTCCTAATAGGCATGCAAGAATTTTTTTATGTAATTCTTGACATTATAAAAAGAGAGAGAGGATAAGAACCACATGATCCTATCAGTTGTTATAGAAAATGCCTGTGACAAAATCCAACACCCTTCTTGATTAAAACACTCAACAAAATAGGCAGAGAGAAAACTTGTTCAACACAGTTAAAATTGTATATGCAAAACCAAAAGCCAACATCATTCTCAATGGAGAAAAAATGAGGGCATTCCCCTGGTAAACAAGGAACAGATAAGTATGCCATCTTTCACCACTTTAGTATTGTAGTAGAAATACTAGCTAGCACAATAGACAAAGGGACCTCTCAAGAGTACTGAAGAGCAACGACGTCAAGCTGGAGACTAAGGTGCGCCAAATCCAGGCTATAGTCTTCGCAATTACGTGCTATGCATCAGAGAGTTGGACAGTGACTAGGGATGATAGAAAGAGAATTGATGCCTAAGAGAAGGGAAAAAGAGACATCCAAATTGGCAAAAAGGAGGTAAAACCATTGTATATCAAGATAGTATCTACAGAAAAGTCCTAAAAACTCAACAGAAAAATTGGTTGGTCCTAGTAGACCAGTTCAGCAGAGTGACAGGATACAAGATCAACATACAAAAATCGGATTTTTATGTATAAAATTGGATTTCTTTACAGCAACAAAGAAAACAGTGAAAAGGAAATAAGAAAAGCAATACCATTTACAATAGTCAACCACAAGATTAAATAATTGGGAATAAACCTAACTAGAAACAAAAAAGACCTATATAAGGAAAACTACAAGACATTAATTACATCAGGAAACAAAAGGAGACCTAGATAAATAGGGACATAGCCCCTGTTCATGGATAGGAAGACTCAACATTGTGAAAATTCCAGTCCTACCAAGAGCATTGTACAAGTTCCGTGCAATACCAATAGGAAACTCATTTTTCAAGGAGATAGGAAAGGCAATTTCCGTTTCATTTAGAGACTCTTAATAAGCTAAGCTTTTCTGAAAGAAGGAAAAGTAAGAAGCATCACACTCCCTAATCTCGAAACCATAGTAATCAAAAGTGTGATGTTAGCACAGCAACAGGCACACAGACCATGGAATAAAATCAAGAATCCAGAAATCAACCCATCTATCTATAGTCAGTTGGTTTTCAACAAGGAAACAAAACCCATTAAATGGGAAAATGACAGTCTCCTTAAAAAATAGAGCTGGCCAGAGTAATTTCTAATTCTGTGAAATAAAGAGGGACCAAACTGTAGGGTAAATGTTTATTAGTTTTTGGTTAATAAGTTTTTCATAACCAGAGTTTCTTAAATTTTATCGAATCAATAAAGTCAGTATTTGGAAGTAAAAAAAATCTACCTGCAGAAAACGGAAACAGGATCCACATCTCAATTCATATACAAAAACCAATTCAAAGTAGATCAGAGACCAAAGGAGGAAATTGAAAACCATAAGGATCATCAGAGGAAATAAATAGGAACAAATTCAGAAGCCCTAGTTTATGACATGAATAAGCTTACAAACAACCAAAAAATGCACAGCCAGGAGAGGATACAGCTGATGAATAGGGCCTTCTAAAAATTAGATCCCTGTGTACATTAAAAAGATTTTCCAATAAAAAGATAAAGACTCCAAGATAAAGACTGCAGTAACCCCATTATAAAATGGACAAAAGACATAAAAGACTCTTTCACCAAAGAGAATATTTAGATGGCCAACAAACACATGAGGAAATATTCCGAATCACCAGCAGTCAGAGAGATGCCAATCAAAACAACAGTGAGGTTCCGTTTTACACCAGCAACAATAGCAAAGTTTAACAGGACAGCAAACAATAAATGTTGTCAGGAATTCAGAGAGATTGGAACTTGACTGCACTGCTGATGGGATTGTAAAATGGCACAACCACACTGGAAGGCAGTTTGGCATTTCTTCAGAAAGGTGAACATTGAAATTCCATATGCCCCAGCTATTCCACTACAAGGAATATACTCTAAGGAAATCAGAATTGAAGCACAAACAGATGTATGTACACCTGTATTCATTGCAGGATTAGTCACAGTACCAAGAAAATGGAGACAAGCCCAAATGCGCATCAACAAACCATCCAAAGATGGATAGAGAATTTGTGGTTCATTCACTCAGTGCAATACTCTGCAGCACTAAACAACAAAGAGTTTGTCTAAATGCTATACAACACGTGAGAGTCAAGAGGACAGTAACCTGAGTGAAATAACTCAGTCAGAAAAGGGAAAATACTGTGTGAGACCACTAGTGTGAAAATAGGAGGGTAACTGGGGATGGTAGGGGATGAGAAAAGCAGGCATACAAGGTACAGAAAATGAACACTGTAAAGGACCAGGGCAGGGAAAGATTAACCTGGGGGAAACTGACAACAGCACGTTAAAACTATTACAATTAGCAGATAGGAACAGGGCATGTATAACTATTCAAAAGCAGTGGGGAAGGAGAGAAGGAGCGTAGAAGGGAGTGGAGCACAACTATGGCAGCAGAGATTAGTAGATGGATGGAGGGTGAAGGAATAGGCAGGTGCAGTGAGGACTTGATAAGACAGGGTGATGAAAGGCATTGATCAGTAGTAACCACTTCTTTCAGTTTATCTTGTGGAAGATCTTCCTCTTTCTTCACTGGCCTTCCACTTTACCAAGCGTAATGGCCTCACTTGGGAATTGTGGTGTCAGAACCACTCATAACTGACCCTCCAGCAAGTTTTCAGAGGCAGTCACACACATGACTTCCCTTCTGCAGAGCAGCTGATAGATTTGAACCTTGTGCCTTTGAGTTGATAGCACAGATCCTTACCATGAAGTCACCAGCACTCATAACCAAAATATGTGAGATGAAATGTTGCCTTCCTGGCTTCTAAGAAGCATCCTCGCTGCCCTTCTTCTAAGAAAATGTCTTTATTCTTAGTGGTGTTTTTTTTTTCCATATTCTTTACCAACATTACAACTCAAAGGCATAAAATTCTTCTCCAGTCTTCCTTATCCATTGTCAACTTTCACATGCTTATGAAGTGATTGAAAAATAACCATGACTTGTATCAGGCTAACCTTAGTCACCGAAGTGACATTCTCGCCTGTAGCAATTGAAGCATTCCTTTGCACCACCAGCTTTGTTCATTTCAGTACCTCGATTTGATTTCTTGACTGCTGCTTCCATGGTTGTTGATTGTATGTGCAAATAAAATTAAACCCTTGACAATTTTAATCTTTATCACAATGTTATTTATTGGTACATTTGTGAGATTCTTGTTGAAGTATAATCCATACCGAAGGTTATAGTTTTTTATCTTATCCATAAGTATGTCTCACATCTTCTTTGTTTCACCAAGGTTGTGTCATCTGCATGGCACTGACTGTTAATATTCAGTATGTTCTTCATATCCAACTTTTCAATTATTTGATCAGTAAACAGATTAAATAAGTGTGATGAAAGGATACAACCATGTTGCAAACTTCTCCTAATTTTAACCCACACAGTATTACCAGTATTTTCAGAAACCTTGCCTCCTGGTCTGTGTACAGGTTCTACATGAGCACAACTCAGTGTTCTGGAATTCCCATTTGTTGAAGTAGTCTCTGTAGTTCATTATGAACCAGGCATTTGAATACATTTGCATAGTCAGTAAAATAGAGGTAAACATCTTTCTGGTCACCTCTGCTCCCAGCCAAAGTGGAAAGTAGGGAATAACATCCTCTAGTTTTGGCAACACAGACTTTATTTTTAGCCTCTGTAGGTTTGGTATGAGCTTTCTTATGTGAACTGTTTAAAAATGGACCAGGTGGTTTATTTATGCTAAACACTTTTACTTTTTCTGTTGTATTTTCACTGAGGGTCTAAAGTGACTTTGTAAGAGGTCACAAGCAAATAGTTATGATAGTAATGTAAAACCTCCCACAAGAGACATAAATAGAAAAATTTTTAAAATAAAATAGTTTTTAAAAGATAAATCATTTAGGTTTGCAAGGGTCATCTAGCTACACCCACTTAACAGTATCTTTGTTTTAGATTTTAACAGTTTGGTTATGAGAAGTGATCAGAAAAAAAAAGTTGTTGCAGAACTCATTTGACTAATTAGTCTTCAGTTTCAAAGTTTTAAGTTTAGCATGTAAATTAAACTATAAAAGATGGCATCTAAAATGGTCCCAAGTACCCTTTGGTAAGTTTTCTTTAAGAATAATTCTCCCAAGATCTAACTTAAGAAAAATATCAAAGTAGTTCATCAAAAATGCTATCCCATTTCAGTCATCTGAGTAAAATCTGAACTCTGAAGGATGAATAATATTATCTAAATTTAGTTACTTTTTTATATAATAAGTGAGTAGATGGAGGAATTAATAAGTCTTTCTGCTTCTTGGTCTCATTAGAAATTTGTCTTTTTTGAGCTGAAATTTAAAATTTTAATTCTTCTATTTTCATCTACAGCTGGAGTGCCAAACTCTACCTGACTCCAAGTAACATTGTTCTGCTTACTGCAATAGCTCTCATCGGCGTCTGCGTTTTTATCTTGGCGATCATTGGCATTTTACATTGGCAAGAAAAGGTTTGTTCGATTAAATGAACCGTTAACTTTACTTAATTGTAAGAATTATAGTTTTGGGGTTAGAAGGTAAATATATTTAAAACTTACTCCACATTGTTGTTGTTGAGTACCGTACAGTTGGTACCGACCCATAGCTGACCGCTGGTGGGTGGGTCTTCAGAGGCTGTTAATCACACAGGAGGAGATTGCCCATGAGAGATCTGAATTTTTCAAATTTTGTTCAAATGTCATTTTAGTAATGATTTGTCTTTATCCCCTGAAATTACTATCTATTAGAAATTCCTATACATCAAGAGTTCTGGTGGTCTAGTGGCAAGAAACTGCACTGCAGCCCCAGAGATGTGCGGTTCGAATGCACCAGATGCTCTGCGGGAGAAGGAAGGACAATCTCCTCCTGTACCAGTCAGATCCGATTTGATGGTACACACAAGGGGGGGGGGGGGGGGGGGGAATCTTATTTTAAAAAAGAAAGTCCAATATATCACACTACCGTATTGATTTTAAAAGTTTGCTAAACCATAGAGTATTAGCCTGACTATCCGAACCTTCACCTGCTACTGAAATGCTGCAGTGTAGTCCACTCAGGGCACCTCAGAAGAAGAATTAGCCCCTGAAGACTGTTCTGCCACACACGTGGATATCCCCAGGACCTGGGATCAACTTAATGGGAACAACTTTGTAATTTTTTTAGTGTGTACCAAAATTTAGGAAGCGATGTCATAATATCCTGAGAAGTATTAATAAATTTTTAAGTAATAATAATAATATTATTATTATTATCTACATACAGGGCTATAGACATTCTTTTTCCAAGAATAATAACTAATTTTTTGGATAAAGAAATTAGAGTACCTAGAAAAGTTAGTGAAATTATTCTCTCACAGCTTATTAAGTGGGAAGTAACAAGTAAAGTGATAACTATATTTTCCATTTATCAAGTGGAGTTCTGGTGGCCTAGTGGTAAGAATCTGCACTATGATCCCAAAAGCATGTGGTTCAAATCCACCAGCTGCTCCGAGGGAGGAAGATGGGCAGTCTCGTGCCATGCGATTAACTGCTTCTGAAAAGCTGCTGGAGGGTCTGCTATCAGTCAGAACCAACTCAGTCGTACGCAACAACAGCATCTATCAAATACTCTTTTGAATTCCTTTTTTTTTTTATTCAAACACCTCTCCAAAGTGCTAAAGAACAGTGGTGCCAATTTTTTTTTAATTTGATTATGGTTTATTTTAACAAAAGATTACTGAAAGGTTGGGTTTTCATTCATTGACTCATTGTTGCACATTTTCCTTCCTTCTTCTTGCCCCTCCCCCCAGTGAAAATAAACCTCCCAGAAATGCCATGTACATTTCAAAGTTTTAATGCCATGTTTCTGTGAAGAAAATACAAAATAAATCACCATGTATTACTTTAGACATAAATTTTAAAAGGCTAATTTATATTTGTAATTGCCTAGAATTAAATATATAATATTAATTATATAACTAGTAAAGCCTAAGAGTGCATCCATAAAGAGCTTCTTTATGTCACAAAACCATTTTGATGTGGGTTTTGGGGGGCGGGTGGGTTTGTGTCTGTTCTCTTTAGATTGTCACCCTCATCACTGTGAGTCTGAATCAGTGCCCTGCTTTGCAGAGTTTGGGTTCTTTTCATCTATAAAAATGGCATGTTAATTGTGCCGATAAATGTTTATCACTTTGTGTCTTTATAAAAATATCACTCCTTTAAATATAAAAAATAATAATAATGTCACTTTTGTTAACTTTAAGATTGCAATATGAGGTAAAAATAATAAAAAACCCACAACTTTTCTTTTCAGCCAGAAGGATTAAAGCCTTCTTTCCAATATTATCAAGCTCTAGATCTGTGAATGTAAAGAAGTTAATAATGCTAATCTGCCAGGTCTGATTTCATCATAAACACTGAAGTTACAGTAATAAGGAATTGTTGTTATGTACCATCAAGTCAAAGCCAACTCATAACTGACTCTCCAGTGGGTTTGGGGGTTTTTTGTGTGTTTTTCTGGTGGTGGGTTTTTTAAATAATTTTTTCTTTTATACTGATTTGCTTACAAAGTTCATATACATTGTTTTTCACACCAGATCTTTCCCATTTCATTTACTCCAGTGGCTATAAATTTTAAGAGGCTATAAGTTACACGGGAGCAAAGTTCCCATCTTTCTCCTGCAGAGCAGATGGTGGATTTGAACCACATGCCTTTGAATTGGGAGCACAACTCCTTACCACCAGGACTCCCTAATAATGAACTAGCAGCTAAAAAGTTGATGTTTTTCAAGACAAGTCTATACTCTGCCCATGATTGTAACATGCTCACTAATAGAATCCCCAGCGATGCCACTGTCCTTCTTTTCCCACTTATTTGACCACTTGATTTTCTCCTGTCTCCTTTCTTTCATTTTCTGTCATTTCAGGAAGTTGCCCCTTTCTGTCCCTTCCTTAGTGCAGACATCCCATAGTGATTTCCCTGCCAATTTCATCTAAAATTTATCATCATGATTTATTTTTAATTCTTTTCAATTCTTAAAAATAAATAGATAAATTGGGAAAAGGAAGAGACAATATACAAGAAGGAGTACATTAGACAGGGTAATTTATTCATTACATTACTCAAAGACAATGTTGTAAAACAAATTGTCTGTGAATGATTCTGTCAAAAACTAATTCTGTTTATAAAATACTAAGATGAACAATCAAGTCACAAAATGAGCACAACATATGAAAAGACACTTCGCCAAAGAAGAAGTTGAGATGGCCAACCAACACATGAAGAAATGTTCTCAATCCCTACCTATCAGAGATGCAAATCAAAACAACTGTGATACCATCTCACCCCAGCAACAGATGAACTTTAGGGCAGTAAACAACAAATGTGGATAGGATTGTAGAGAGACTGGAATTCTTATTCACTGCTGGTGGAAACGTTAAATGATACAACCTCTGTGGAAGGCAGTCTGTTGCTTTCCCAAAAAGTGAGAAATAGAAATACCATTTGACCCAGCTATCATACTACTAGGAATATACCCTAAAGAAACCAGAACCACAACTCAGATGTATACACATCCATGTTTATTGCTGCATTACTCCCAGTATTGAAGAGAAGAAAGCAGGCCAAGTGTCCATCAACAAAAGAATGGATAGAAAAATTGTAGAACATTCAGACAATGGAATATTAAGCAGTAATAAAGAACAGTGAACTTGAAAACACTACACACATGGGTGAGCCTGGGAGACATTATGCTGAGTGAAATGCCTCAGTTAAAAAAGGAAAATATTGCATAATACCATACAATAAGACTGAGATGGGGGACAAAATAAGACTGACACAAGGATGGGGAGAGAACAGGGGGCAGTGGCTAGAAAATGAACACTGCCCTGGAATAGACGAGGGAAGGACTGTCTGAAAGGCATGTGTGAGCAGGTACTATATCTGAAACAAGAGGGGCATTACAAAGTGGAGTAGGGGAGGGGAATGAGAGTGAGGGAGGAAATTGTGCAAAGATGAATGGATGAAAACCCCATCTTTCTATAAACTTTTGTTAAAATCACAAAAAAATAAAAATTACATCTTCTGCTGTTACCTCATACACACAGCCCACATCTCTTTCCTGAGGTCTCATCACTGTTTCCAGCTGGGTTCGTATCATCTCTATCTAGATCACTCTCAGAGGCACCGCAAGGCTAGTATTCTAAAATCCTATCTCGCAGGCTTTCCTTCTTATTTCATCAGTTGTTCTACTGATTCTGCTTCTATTAAGAGTCTTTGCAGCCAATTCCATTTCTGCATTTCTCCTGCTGCTGCTGCTGTTCAGCTCTTTATCATATCCTACCGAGCCTTGCAGACTTCATTCTCTCCTATTTCCAGTCCATTCATCACACTGCTGTCAAATTATTCATTATTCCGTTTAACCTTAATCAACTTCGCAACCACGCTGTAAACCTTTAGTAACTTACCCACTGCCCAAAATGTCTAATCTTGCCTTCATAATATTTTCATGTCACTCCAGAGTCTGTCTTTCCAACTTTCTTATTACCTTTTACATATTTCATGTTCCCACAAAATGTATCTCAGATTGCTAATATTTTACCCCAGCTTATAATGACGGTTCCTCTCCTCCATTTCTCTAAATACTGTATTTTCAACAACTTTTCTTTCCACACCTCAATTTAAGAATAATCTCTTTCTCAGAATGCTGTTAACATTTTTAACTTTTTATTCAGGAGGAGAATTATTCAGTATGTTTTGAGTTTTTCTATGAAGGTTTGGGAGCAAAATACAAAACAATCACTCAAAATAACAAATATCAAGTAAACAGAAAACATAGTCCAGATTATAATTAACTCTACATATTAAATTTAAATTCATTTATTAGCATCAGTGTTAAGAACTGAAAATAAATGTAATACTTTATTTACATTTACAGAATTTAATGTTTATTCTACTTTTAAATAAATGATAAAGGAAAATAAGGATGCTAGGATCATTTCTTGGTAATTTTTAAATCCAATAAGTGAGTCATTTATTATAAAACAAATGTATAAAGTACCAAAAACTACTTCATGTGATTTGCTGTTGTTTTGTGCCATCGAGTGGGAACCAACTCATATCTTGTAAAATCACACTTTAATTTCTTTCATATTTATAAAATTAGCATTTTAATAGTCATTTCTTCTTAATAATATTTTTTTAATAAATTCTTTTTCAGAAAGCAGATGACAGAGAAAAACGACAAGAGGCACATCGGTTTCATTTTGATGCTATGTGACTTGCATTACTCTTATACGTCTGATTTGCTAAAAAATTAAATTCTGGCTTATAGAAGAAATTATGGGATTGTTTTGAATTTTATTTATAAATGATGCATCCCTTGGTAATTACTTGAGAATATTCATATTTATATGGTGTAAATGTGCCACAAGGTCTTTTTTTGAAGCACTTTCTGTAAGATAATTTGGGTTCTTTATTCAATTAGTGTTGTAAATTTTTTCTCTTTGTGGAATGTGTTGCATGTACTTGGACATTTATGTATTTATAACCTTATTAGAATAAAGGTGATAAAAAAGATAAGTATAAATAAAAACATTAAAATAAATTTTTTGTGTTCTACTTGAATCTGTCTTGCTTCTTAATGTAAACTTTGATTTTATGAATGTATCCCCGGTCAAATATTTAAGCATCCACCTTCATCAGAAGACTAACCGATGCCATTCAGGGTTGTAAGTGAGTGAGTACTTTGGCTCTGGAATCATACTGAGACTGTCTTGCGTTAGACTCTTGTTTCCACTGCTTACTAGCTGTTTGAACTTGGTGAATTTCTTATCCTCTTAGTCTCATTATACACTAAGTCTAATAATACCTATTTGATTTATAGTACAAATTAAATATTATGATGTACATAAGTGCTTATAGCTTGTAACCTAACATATTCTAAGTGTCATTACTTGTCATTATTCTTTTTAGCTTTTTTATAGACTTCTACAGCTAAACGGCTAAGCGGGCAGGATGGCTAGCACCTCCATGGCGGCTCCTCTTGGTGGCACTCAGGCAAGGGAAGTTTCTGGGGTCTATTGCGTTGTGTGTTAAGGTCCTTTTGGCTTTCAAAGCTGCATGGGCGGCCCTGACCCTTAGAGTAAGGGTAAGTAAGGGTGGAGTCAAGCCTACAGAGCCTGCTCCAGGCCCTAGCTTAAAATCCTATCGCTAGAGGGCCTGTGGCCCTCAGGCCAGCCTTTAATTGTTTTTGGTGAAACATTCTTCTAGGTTGTATAAGACTGGTAGGTCCAACTTGCTGTACAGAGGTAGCTCGTGGTTGCTGTGAAGCCGAACACTGTGACACTGATGTGTCAAATGTGGTAATGGTTACCCATGGAGGAGCTCTCTGATTAAAACAAGCTTGGAAGCAAGAGTGGCATCCACTTCCACAATAGCTTGCCTCTGGAAACCCTATGAACCTGAAGAGAGGACAAAAGTTATACAGGAGGTGTCCAGGACTTTTGTTATAAGAGTTACCTGCGACTCGATGGCACTTAACACCACACATACACACAACACAACTAATTACAAAAAATATGACTTGATGGAGTGAGTGTGTGTGTGTGTGTGTGTGTGTGTGTGTTTGTATCATCAAATTAGATCCTACTAGTACAGAAGATTGCCCCTCCTTCTCCAGCAGAGTATCTGATGGCTTTGAACCACATACCTCTGGGATTGCAGTGCAGCTTCTTGCCACTAGGCCATCAAAGCTTCCTGACTTGATGGAATTTTGTTTTCAGACATGAAGAAATCTTATTCCTCGGCAAACTTAAATTCTTGCTAACATATATAGGATTGATTAGTAGGCTCAAGTTTAACAGAGATGATGAGGATGGCCCCGGATAGAACAGAGTTCAGATGGGTGGTTCAGGGCGTCACTAGAAATCCTAGCTGGCTCAGTGGCACCTAACAGTAACATATTCACTTAAAACTATCATATTGTGTACCCTAAAACTTTATATAAATATAAATCCTCATTATATGGTAATTAAAAAATATTTTCTTTCTTAAAATGAAATTCTTTAGGGAGCCTCTGGGAATGCAAATCTTCAGTCATATTTATATTTTCAAAGATGAAAGAATCTGTAACTTTTATTCAGATCTCAAGACAAGTTTTATATTGTGGGCTTCATACATGCAGAAAGTTACTGAATCTGACATTGGGGGAAAGGGAGACTTTATCATTGCTAACATGCAAATAGAAATGTGATGGCTATTAAAAAAACCCACAATATCTGGAAACAGAAGTGTGATCTTCATGTTAGAGGTTTTTTTCTTTACAATTCACTGATAGTGTCATGTGATTAAATAGCTAAATGTTGCATCTAAGCATGTTAGCATGGTTTATAATAAACATCCTTCACTGAACAAAATATTTTGGTGAGTTTTTAAGTAATTGTTTTTGTAACGTGAAAAGGCCTTTTCAGGTTTTTATAGCTGTTTTTATGTGCTCTCAGATCAGAACAAACTTATTATATCTGACCTTCCAGCAAGTTTCCAGAATGAGTAAATCTAAAAGAAGGAGACTGCTTCTCTTTCTTCTGTGGAGCAGCTGGTAGAATCAAACCATGTGCCTTTGGGTTGGCTGCACAAAACCTTAACACTAATGCACCAACTAATAATGTCCCTTTTTACATGTTGCATTGGAAAAATCTGCTATCAGGACCTGTCCAGAGTGCTGAAAAGCAATGATATCAATCGAGAGACTAAGGTCTACCTGATCCAGACCATGTTACACTTCACAAGTGCTATGTGTCTGAGAGCTGAATAAGGGTGACAGAAGCATTGATGCCTTTGACTTGTGCTGGAGAAAAGTGTTGCACATACTGTGGACAGCCAAGAGAACAAACAAGTCTGTCTTGGAGAGGGTAAAATCATGTTGCTCCTTGGAGGCAAATACTTTGAAGCACTGCCTCACATATTTTGTAAAGAGAGGCCAGTTCTTAGAGAAGGACATCATGCTTGGAAAGGTCAGCGCAGGAGAGGAAGACCCTGGATAAGATGGACTGGCACAGTGACCATGGCAATGGTATCAGGTATGTCAGAGACAGCGTGGCTCAGGATAAGACAAGGTTCAGAACCATTGTCCATAAGGTTGCTGTGAGTCACTGTTGCCTCCATGGCATGTAATAACAACATACAGCACAGTAGACCACTACCCAGTCCTATGCTGTCTTCACAACTGCTGCAGTTTTTACAGCATTATTACAGCCCATGTCACTCATCTGGTTGAGGGGTTTCTTCTTTCCCATCTATTTTCCCAAGCTTAATGGCTTTCTCCAGGAACTTGCCCCTGCTGATAAGTGGGCAAAGTCTGTGAGGCCAAGGCACACTGTCCTTGCTTCTAAGGAGCAGTCTTCTGGCTGTATTTCTTCCAAGACAGATCTCTTTGTTCTTCTGGCAGCTCCTCACCACCCAGCCCCCAGAGTTCGCCAAATCATTATGGACTTCAAACATTGTGAATAGCATTATTCCACACTATGTCTAATCAAGCCTTAGTCTTACCACCAATACAGATAATAATAAAAGCATGAGGTTTAAAACTCAATTTGAGTTGGAAGGCTACACAGTGTATTGTTGTAAACAACTAAAATGTTAATGGCTCTTACATGCAATGGGCTGAAACCTGTGGAAATCTTGGTAGGAACAGACCTAAGATCCTGACCCACAGAAGCACCAGACAAAGCCCTGACAATCCTAATACTAGAACAATAAAAAGAAAAGCATGTAATTCTGTCTTAGGCCAGTACTTGATTGGATATACTAAAAGGGAAGATTTGCCATGGTGATAAGATTGTTAAAAGTAGAATTTGACAGTGGGTGCTGGAGCTTAGACTAGTTGATAGATTAAGCCCCTCTCATTACTCTGAGAAGATTTGCATTTAAATGGATTTGTAGACCCACCTTGGACTTTTTTTCTTTTTTATTTTATATTGGTTTGCTTACAGAGTTTGTACACATTTTATTTCATACAATCATTCACATTCATTACGTTTTATAAAATAAATCACCATTGGACCATGCCCACCATTACCCTGTCTTTTCAGGTCCCCCCCCCCCAGATCTTTCCCATTTCTCTTACTCCCTCCTTCCACTCACTAAATTATGAAACCCTTTGATTTCACCCCTACCCATCCTCACCCCTCTGTTCCCATGCTTCCCGCCTTGGGTCCCCATACATGTTTTACTCGTTATCTTTATGGTTTTTTTACTGTAATAGTCTTCGACAGCATTTGTCCGTGTGAGACAGAATTCACTCAGCATAATACTCTCCAGTCTTTCCCAAGTTACGTAGCCACCTTGGACTTTGATTGAAGAAATAAATTCACATTTCAAAGAAAGGCAAGTAGAAAGAAAGAGAATGTGTGATGAGTGGAAGAGGCTTTGACTTTTTAAAACTGGACAAGCTGCTTGGCTTCTGAAACAGGGTATAAAGTTGGTATAACTTGAAGTTAAAGGGGGCTAGCAAGTACACTTACTGATAGTGACGCCTGTATCCACTGGAGTAGAGGCAGGAAGCATGCAGCAATGAAGAGACAGGCTGAGCTTGGAATTGTCTTTCAGCACTATGTAAGTGAAAAAGAGTTGCTGGCTTGAAGAGTAGGGAGTCAGGAGGACCCCTGGCTTGTTGACTTGGTCTCATGTGGGAGGCCAAGGAGGAATGAAGAGACTGGCTGGTCTGGAACACAGAAGTGGGGACCCCTGAGTTTGTGGCTAATGCCCATTTAGACCCAACCACAGATGGCTGAGGATAAGATGACAAGAACCCAAACACATGATCACGCTGTGGGCCAGTGTTGATTGATGGGACCCGATGGCTTTCTCTGGACTGGACTTTGCTTGTGGATGTAGAAGCTCAAAGTTTCCAAACGGAACGGAAGATTCTTGAGCAAAAGGGACATGCTTGTTCCCTCAGAGGACTGGTTTGATATGGATGGGCAAATCAGGGCTAATAAGGCATGAGGCGTGAAGCAGGTGGCTCACATGCTTTCACAAATGTAGCGATTAGTGATACGATTGTAAGGGGGAAGTTAATTCTTCAAAGACCAAGGTTAATCGCTGGAAAAGCCAGGCGGTGGTCTGCATTGTCAAAGGTTCACTGGCCACAGTGAAAATGGGGTGCTTCAGAGAGCATAGAGACTTCAGCCCCACAGTACTCAGCAGTGATAAGGGCTTTGAAGGCCCTCCGGTTTGTGAGTGATATGTACAGGGCCCCAGCTGTCATGGTGATGCCACAGAGAAAGAGGAATCATAGCCTTTTTACTTCAATAATCAACATCATATCCATGGGGGTGGGGGGGGCAATTTAAAACTTTTGTTCTGCAAACATCAGGAAAGCAAAAAGACAGAAATTATTGGTTTATGTTCTCAACAACAACAAAAGTAAAAATGAAATGCACAGGGTGGGAGAAAATATTTGCTAATTATGTTTTTAAAAGATAACATGAAATAGTTAATATAAAAGCACAAACATCAAAAGACAAAACAAAATGGGACTTAATAAAAGTAAAAATGGAAAGAGGTATTAGAGAGTATTATTCAGATCAAAACCTGCAATAG